GACAATATCTGTGCTCAGCATTGGTAAAACTTTTTTCTTAATTTTTTCTAATCCATGCAGAATCTGATAGCATGGCTTTTCCAAATTCCTCTGTTAACACGTTTCCAGTAAATAATCAGAATGCAAAACTGTTCCTGTGAAACTCGGTTGGATCTGTGATGCATGCAAATTGCAACATGAAGTAAATGCAGGTTGACTTTCACAAATCACTTTGAAAGTCCTGGTGTATCACAAATGACGAATTGGCTTTGAATCACTGCGTTGTCATGCAGTTCACTAATGAAACAGTTTTACTGCTGTGGCAAGCGAAAATTGCTGGAGTGATCTTTCACATTTACCAGAAGAAAGTAAGGTGTTGCAAATGAGTCCTCCTCTCTTTTGGTAACATATTAAACTCACAAAAGAGTTGACAACATGACGCATCAGCTTATTACAGCAAGCAGGGCCTTTCTGTATCAAGATCACTATTCATTAGGGCAGGATGTGGTGTTCTCTTCGCAGCTCAGTGCACGCACTCCCTTCTGAGCAGATAAATCTGCGGGAGAACTGAAATTAGTGCACTTTAATTGATAACAGCATGTTAAAAATGAGAAGGAAATTCTACAAAGGACCATGAATATAAACATGATCCTTGAGGTTTTCAGAGTTTATCTAGAGGAATCTCATGTGCAGTATGATCAGTGTTAGAATCAAATGCAGTACTGTTTCTCATTCCAGGCTTTCAGAAAGTAGGACTGACGGCACATAAACATACAGTACAACACACAAGTTATTGTATTTACAAGTTTACAGACAAGGTGTTTTAGGGTCCTATATATAGACCACCCAGGAAACTCCAGGCTGCTACCATTTACTTGACTCTTAAACAATCCCTACAGAGGCCAAAGAAGAGATAAACCACTTTCTAAACTAAATACAATACAGCTTGCAGTTAAATCTCTCTCCACCATTCTAAAATGCACCCACTAGCAAGAGAGGCAGTATTAACCTGAGGGATTCCTCTTAGGAAATCCACGTTCCCTAAAATCTGCAGAATAGCAAGCTCTTTCTAGCACCGTTCAAATACTGAGATCCAATCAGTTTTTTTTCCTGGATGATCATGAAGTAGGGAGTCTTGCCTGGCTCAAGCTTCAAGTTCCAAATTCTCCTCTCTCTTGTGGTATGACCTTCTTTTGTTCTTTCCCAATCTTCTTTTTTCCTGCTCTGATCCTGCTCTGATCTTACAGGTGTGTGGTGTGTTTCTGGACTGTTCATTGAGACTTAAGCATTTACCCAGAACTAAATGAACTAAGGTAAACCAATGCAAACGTTGTGATTGCTTTGATTCCAGACTCTGGAGCCCTTCATCCCCACTGCTTTGAAGCTGGAAATGTTTATACTGTCAGGTGTTACACACAGTGATCTAGACTCTGAGACACCTCCCTTATCACACTCCTCAGCCTGTAAGCATTGTGACAGCTGTTCTTCAAGAAAGCTGCAGGAGCAGACATTCAAGAATGTGGAATGATGTGTGCTTTGTGTCGCAGAAATGTTTTGAAGGATTAAACTAGTAAGAGTCAATAGAAGAAACATTTCTAAAAGAGAACAGGAATTTTTTATGGATCAATTATGGATCGTTTTCCTAAAATAATATTTAAGATGACCTTGGATAGCAAAGCCTCACTAATTGTTGCTTTATTGTTTCGGTGCATGTAGGGATATTCCAGCACAAGTCCCTCTCAGAGCCTCTTCTCGTGCTCTCATCACAGACAGCTAAAGGAAGAAGAATAGAGAGAAATTGATGCAGACAGGGCTCCTCATCCTGTGAGACTTGGATGTGCTAAGCTTATAACTGATTGCTGCCAATGGGAGTTGTGACAGAGCAGTCACATACTGTATCTTGAAGCCAAAGAAAATAATTTTAGTGATGTACCATGCAGAGAGCAGAGACTTCAATGGTACACATGAGCAAACTGTTTTTGCTTTGTCAAACAAGTGCTCAAAAATATGTTTGCTGTTTACATTATTTACTTTAATGACGGAATTTCTTCCTCTGAATACAGGTACAATACAAATGCAGCAATTTTCATATATATAAAAATATTTACTGTATATATAAATTCATATAAACAAATAGTATTTGAGGAAAGTTAGAGAAAAGAAAATTGTTTTTAATCTTCTTTTAAATGAGACTCTCATTGCCTTTTAACATTGTACATTGTAGTAGTGATTTATTGTAGGTACCAACGTGGCACAAATGGCATCGATCTTATGATCCTGGTACAACCTATCGTAGATATGACAAAGTCTAAAGCATTTTATCACTTCATCCCGGTAGAAAGAAATAGTGGGGTTCTGTACTGTATCCTGTTTTTTTATTGTTTGTTTTTGGGATTGTTTAGCTTGGAGAATTGAAGGTACTGAACTGTTTGTAGATGAAGCCTTTTCTAAATTAACTTGTGGTTTATCAGTCTACAAAATTAATTGGCTGCACATGTTCATTAGAGATTAGCTTCCAATTACACTGACATGCAGGGCGATCTCCGCATTGCTGGCTGGGACATGGAGTTTAGGTCGTGGTGGATATTCTCCAAGAAACAGCCCTGCCCTAAATCTTGGGTTTCCTCTCGACTTTGAAATGGTAAAGCCAGAACAAACTCTATAAAAATGGAGTAATAGCTTTTGGGAAAGGCTTCTCCTTGATAAAGCACTTTCATTATGGTATGGATCTTAGAAGATTTTTCGTTCAAGCACTTTAGGTTAGGGATGGCATTGGAAATGGGTCACTTTTCAGAACCAACTGTTGGGCGGGCAGGTTTTGTGTCTTTCCCAGCTTAACAGAAAAGTGAAACATGGAAGTCTCTCCCTAAGAAATCCACCATTTCTGCATCGGCCGGCTACAGCTCAGTCACTCTCGGAGCCAGCTGGGAGCCTGGAGCCCTGAGCACGAGTGCCCCAGGGAGCTTGATTTCTAGACCCAGTCACTCTGAAGGAGATGAGAGGGGATTTCAGTTATCATCCAGGTGGGGCTGCACATTGGTGGTGGTGTAGGGGATCCCCATTACCTGTGAAGCGCTTTGAGTGGAGTGTCCAGAAAAGCGCTCTATAAGTGTAAGCAGTTGTTATTATTATTATTGAATGAGCTGAAGGCCTATACATAACCAGCTGGGAAAGGCAGGAGACCAATCGCGTTGGTAACGTTCTGCCTGCTGAGCACCCGAAGCCACTCCCTGGTCTGGGGGCGACATGGTTTTATTGGACTGAAAGGGAGATAAGGACTGCTGTTTATTTTGTGGAGCGTGTGGATCTTCAGAAAATTTGCCTTTTGGGCAGTTGCTGCCAGGTTTTGCCCAGTGTGCCGCTTCATGTCACGTCTTTGACCTCCCCTGGTGCCCCCAACCCGTTCCCGTTCAGAGGTGGGTGTGCACGTGAAAAATCCGTTCTTTTCTGCCGTCCGCTGCTATGGACCTTGCAGGGACAGTGATGGAATTCTACAGCTCCAGTTTCCCACCCCTTCAGATTTCCAGGGGTGGACTATGTTTAGAAAGAGCCGCTAAGACCTACTGATTGACAGAAGGGTAGGACTCACAGTGGAGGAGCACAGATTGACTTCAGAGTTAAAGATTTTAAAATACGGCCATTTTGTAATCTTGATAATTTAAGGTTGCAAGCCCCGTGCCACACGAAAACATTTTAGGTAATTATGGCTAATTTACAGCAATTTGGACTCATTTTTAATACCTGTTCTCAGCAGCTGTCATCTTGTTCCCTAACTGAATTGAAATGAAATGGGGCACTGTTACCATGTCACTTAGTTCTTCAGCTGAACTTCAGTGCTGAGGGTATTCTACCAGTATGAAATGAATTTGTCTGGCATTACTCTGACATTTAAATCTCTTAGTCTTTGGGTTTCTTGCTTTTACGTAAGACAATAGAAATTATTTTGATTGATGGAGAAGTTCAGTTAAAAATGGTGGAAAACTTTGTATCTGAAATCAGAAGCAAATAAATAAATAAAATTTCCCTTGAACATTTCAGTCTTAGAATCCCACACAGCAAGTATATTTGCTGTAGGTGAAACCCCCTAGACTGTGCTGTCCTGCGTTCCATACAGTGCTGGCTCTTTCCCTGAATACTGCCTGGTTCTCCCTGAAAGAGCAAGACCACTTGAGCATCTTTTCTTTCCTGCTTATCAATCTTGTTATTCCAGCAGTAGTTTTATTACCTATATATCCTGAGAAAGCGCTGAAATGTTACTTTTGACTTTGGTCACAGATACCGAAGGAATGTGTATATATATAGCTACACTGTTTCTATAAATCTGCTGGACAATTTACAATAGATTTGGGTGAGAGGACGTTTTATAGGCAGAATCACATATTAACGTGACATCTAGTTTTCAAGTAAGAGGTTTCTCCCTAGACTGCCAGAGCAGTAGTCTGTGAAATTGCTTGGAACCAGAATTCCAGATGGACAGTGTGTCCATGGCCAAAGAGATCCTCGCTCATTGTTTTAGATTTTCACTGCTTAACACTATGCTTTACACAGCCAGTTGTGGCAATCTTTTCTGCCAACAGGAGTTTAAAGCCCAAGAACCGTCATCCTTTTGTGTTGCCGTGTTTGGATGCAGATCCTGAGTTAGCTTTATTAATTAGAATATCTAAGGAAGTTGCTTAAGTCCACTTCCCCCCTGAAATAAAGAAGGATGTAAGTGGAACAAAACTCAGTTTCTGTATCTGCATACAGAATGCTGCTGTGATTTTTTTTTTACCTTGTGCCTCCTGTGTGCTGGTGCCTGACCTGGCAGAGGTCAAGCCAAGGTTTGTGGCCTGATGCCTTTCCCTCCTGACTGGCTGACAGCATGGGTCACGCGTGGATCAGCAGGCTGTCTCGCCCCCCGGATGAAAGAGCAGGAAAGGAGGCCTGTGGACTTGCTTTCCTTGCTTGTTTCCTTCGACCGCAGTGTTGGGTACCTTCTGTGAGCCCCTGGGTTTCACAGACGGGCCTGGTGTCTTTTTCAGCAGATGGTACGGGAGCAATACACATCCACGACGCAAGGCACGAGCCTCCCGCGCCACGAGAGCCAGCATGTCTACAAGATCGGGATCTACGGCTGGAGGAAACGCTGCCTCTACCTGTTCATCCTGCTCATGCTCATCATTTTGGTTGTGAACCTCGCCCTGACCATCTGGATCCTCAGAGTGATGTGGTTCAATGCGGTGAGTGTGTGCTCTTCTGGCATCTCTGCCTCACGGTATGGGCTCTCGGAAAGGTTTCTAAACGAGGTGCTCGTAGGGTTCGGGTGGGACTCTCGGCATTGGTATGTTGGCAGGAATCTGAGGGAATCTGTGTCTGAAGGTGATGTGCTGCTGGAGACGTGTTTTTTGGGGCGATTTCAAACCTGGGTTGAGAGAAACTCTCTGCAGTCCTGATTAATGTTCAGTTCTCGGTGGGGGTTCAGTAGCTGTGCTAGTATACATTTTCAAGATGAACATATGCAGAACTCTAAAAAGCAAAGTGGGCTTTCATCATAGAAAAGGTTTTGAATTGGCACTTTTAAAATTAATGTTTAAAAAAGTTTAAAAATAATGATTTCCATTAAGACATCTGATTCGGACATTGGCAATTTCAAAATAAGTGCCAATATAAGAAATAAGAAGATTTCTTCTTATTCAAAATAAGAAGGACGCTTCTTCGCTTCCTACACTGGCTATGTCCCTGACCTCTACAAACGATATATTGATGACTGCGTCGGTGCCGCCACATGCTCCAACGATCAGCTTGAGTTCTTCCTGCACCATTTCACCAACTTCCACCCGTCCCTCAAATATACGATTAACATTTCTTCCACCACTCTTCCGTTTCTAGACATCCACTTGTCTATCAACTACCCCCGACTGTCCACTTCAGTTTATTACAAACCCACGGATTCACACAGCTACCTCCTGTACAGCTCATTTCACCCCAACCACACTAAAAACTCTCTTCCTTTTTCACAGTTCCTTAGGTTACGACTATTATGCAGCAACGACATCGACTTCGAGAACCTTGAAATGTACTCATTTTTCATCAACAGAGGATACCCCAGCAGTGTGATTGACAGGGCCCTTGCCCGAGCCAAAAACACCCCC